TTGACAGCGCGACACGTTTGATCAGTTAAGCGGCCAAGGTGTGAGATAGCGTCCAACTGAAATGAGTATTAACAAAAGCGTTGCGGTGTGTTCTAGAGCGTTGGAGGCGTAGGAGGAGGAGCGTACCACGCTGCAGAACACACAAAAGAGGGGCAAAGGACTGGAACTGCGTTGCGGTTGTCATGTTTGCGTCGCACAATTGTGGCATGTGGTCACATGATTGCACAGCAATGACAATAAAAAGAGGAAAACAATAAAAAATTAACAAATCAGAAAATATAAAAATGTGACGAATTCCAATAAAAGGTGATAATAACAATTAAAGGCAGCGAGAGAGAATGCAGAGTGGCACAAGAAAATTATTGCAAATATTGGGTGAAAAAAAAAACATTAAATTAATATAAAACAAGTTAGGATAGTGCTATCTTTGGCTATACCTTTTATAAACATTTGGTACCTACAAACATCGGACCAAAGTTACAGTACCATTTCATAATCATGAAAGGTATAGAAAGAGGCGGGCTTACAGAAAAAAATGCAAAATATTGAAGTTCATACAGTACTGCCCGCTTAAGTATGCCTCGTTTGCATACCTAAGCCGCTTAACTGCTTCAATTTTTCTTAATTAATTTCCAGTTTCACCTAAGTTTTTACTCTTTAAGTAGCCAACCCTTGTGGGTATGCGGAAAGGCGCCATTTGTGCTTGGCCCGTTTAAGCGAGTTGACCTGTATTTCTAATGAAATACTTAAAGTAATACATTAAAATTTTAAGTGCTGCATTAGGCACTAATTTTTGCTTCTGTCATTTATAGATACCTACTTGAATGGAATTTATTAGCTAGCAAGTGTTCGGAATTTTTTAGCGATAAATAACAGCATTTCCATGTTCATAAATTTTAATAAAAGCGAACTGTGGAGAGAAATAAATAAGGTACCTATAATAAATAAGCGGCGAATACAGAAGTGATCATATGAGATCTCGGTATTTACCGAAAAAGCATTCAATTAATAATGCCCTTATTTGTTCTTGTCGGAAATTCGTTCCATAATACATTAATAGTACAATTTTTGCGAAAATAGTATAGGTCTATCGCTATTGATTTTTTCCGAAGTAATTACGCGAAAGAATGTTTATGCGATTTTTGTTTAAAAACATGCTATAATGGGTTATTTGGTATGAGGAATCTATTTATATTTTTGTTGAAAGTTCCATCAGAGGGCGCAACAGTGAAAATTGTCACAATTTTTTTGGAAACCTATTTCCGCAATTTGGCAAACTCCAAATTGATTGCTTAGAATTACACGTAGAATCCTTCTATGCTATACGCGCATAGTCAAAAAAATTGACCCGCCCTAATATAGACATATTTTTTTAATGTCATTTATTTTTTAGAAAACTATTTTATTTTCTTATTTTTTCTTTTTTTAGTTAAATTTTTAGATTGTATTGTTTTAAAATTAATTTTTTGTAATTTGCTTTAATTTTTAGAAACATAAATTTTTTAATTCAAGATTTTCTTTTTAAATTTATTTATTTATATTACCTATTTCGATTTTATTGTGTTAAAAATATTTTTTTAATATAATTTAATTTTTGGTATTTATATTATTTTTTTATTTGATTTTCTTTTAATTTTTTGATTATAGTATTTTCGAAAGATTTTTTTAATTGTGTGATTTTTTTATTGTTTTAAAAAGAAAAATATTTTTTTAATAATAATTTAATTCTTCATATTTTATTTTATTATTTAATTAAATTTTCTTTAAGTTTTAGATTTTATTGTTATAAAAAGAAAAAAATACACATACATATATGCTGCACCACCCTAATACGTGTTAAATTAATTTTTTAGAAACTTATTTTATCTTCTTATTTTTTTTATTTTTTTATTTAATTTTTAGATTGTATTGTTTTAAAAGAGAAAGTATTTTTTTATTTCCTTTAATTTATTGAAACATATTTTTAATTAAATTTAATGTTTCTTTTTTAATGTATTTGTTTTTTAATTTTTAGAATTTATTGTTTTAAAACGAAATTTTTTTAATATTATGTATCTAATTTTTAGAACAATTTTTTCTTTTTTAAATTAATTTTCTTTGAATTTATTTATTATTTAATTTGAAAAGGATTTTTTTAATCTCATTTAATTTTTAGGAACATATTAAAATTTTTTTTTTAATTTAGCTTTCATTAAATTCTTAGATTTCATTGTTTTAAAACGAAACACATTTTTCTAGTTTCATTTAATTTTTAGAAATTTATATTCTTTCTTATTTCTTTATTTTTTTATTTTTTATGCCCGAGCGCACTAGTGCTCAAGGGTATTATAACTTTAAAAAAATGTAGATATGTATCTCAAAGAAACTTGGTATGTGTACTTATTTTTAGCGTAGGACGGATGGTATTGAAAATGGGCAAAATCGGAAACCACGCCTACCTCACATAAAACGGTAGTTTTCAGAAATACGAGAACGGCGATATTTTAGTAACTACTAAAGCTTATTCACTGAAAATTGATATTTACAATCATATTTAGACGAAAAATTAAAATATTATAAATTTTTGGAAAATGAGCATAGCCACGCCTACTTATGATTACAAGTGTATATCTTGGTAACTGCTCCACCAATTTCTCCCAAACTTGGCACAGTCTGTGGCCTTGGTACAACATACCAAACGGCTGAGTATTTTTGAAACAAAGGACAATAACCACGCCCACATCCCATATAATGGTCATTTAGGGAAATATGAAATCTTCGATAAATCAGTAAATACTGAAGCTCATTTATTCAAAATTGATATTTGCAATGATTTTTTTAGCAAAAAAATTCGCTTATATTAAAATGTTGGTAATTGGGCGTGGTACCGCTCACTTATGACCACATATGTGTATCTCGGTAACCTTTCCACCGACTTGTACCAGTATAATTATTGTACTTGCCACATAAAAGCAAAATGTTGAAAATTTTTGAAATCGGACTAAAATTACGCCCACTTTTCATATAACGGTAAAATTCAGAAATGCCTTCCCCTTGAAAAGAAGTAACATTGTTATCGAAATTGTTAGAAATAGGGGTAAAACTACTATGCTTACCATGTAACGGTAGTTTTCGAAAAGCTGAATGAACTATATTTAATACTTGCGTCGGGTATTTAATGTTCGGCTCCGCCCCAACTTACACTTTTTTACTTGTTTTTATTTAATTTTCTTTTAGTTTTAGGTTTTATTGTTTTAAAACGAAAATATATTTTTTATTTAATTTATGATTTAGGAACCTATTTTATTGTTTTAATTCATTTTTTTATTTTTATTTTTTTTTATTTTAGGTTATGTTATTTTAAAGATCAAAATAGATATTTTTTTTTAATGTCATTTAATTTTGCGGGACTTAGGACCAAATTCACAGTGCGTAGTTAACCACTGATAAGAGTTTAACTATTGATTTTCATATTCACAACGCTCAGTTAACAAAAGTTTAAACCAGCATGCCCCCCATAGTTAAACTCTTGTGAAATAAAATTTTTTTTTGTGGAACGAATTTCAAATTTGAATAGAAAACTAACTATGTAACTCTGAATATAAATTCATCGTTAAACTCGTGTTGGTGGTTAAGTTAACAAACGTTTAACTAAGCACTGTGAATCCGGCACTTATTTTTTATTTTAGTTTCTTTTCTTTTTAATTTTATTATCTTTTGGTTTTTAGATTTTATTGTTGTTTTTAAAAGAAAAGTATATGGGACGTTTCATCCCAAAATTGACGGGGTTCACACTTAATGTGTTTGATTTGTTTCAAATTTTTAGTGTGGATGGATAAACATAAATAATATCTCGAAAACGGAGCGTTAATTTTTTTTTTGAATTTTCTTTGAAAACGGTTTTTGCGCGTTTTCTTCCATAAAAGAAAAGTGCAAAAAGCCGTCAGCATAAAAAATATTACAAATCAACGCAATTTTGCAGTAGCTTAAAACTTGCACTTTATTACACTAAAATTTAATGAGCTACAAAACTGCATACTCCAAAAAAAAAATTGCAAATTTGTAATGTTCTCATTTTACCCAACTTCGGTGTAAAAATAAAAAATCATAACTCAAATTATTGTAGAGTGCACCCCAAAATACTATACTTAAATATTGCGCAACACTCAGAGCTACCATTGTGATTTTTTTTAAATTTTTTTTTTGAGATGGCATATTTTCAAAAACTAATTTTTTTTATCAAAAAATTTGTATTTGAAAAATTAACAAAAAAAAATTAAAAAAATATAACTTTTCTTAGAGAACTTTGATGTGTGTATGTGTGATTTTTTTCAAATTTTTTCCTCACCCCGTTCTCGAGTTATTTGGAAAACTATTAAATCGAATTGTTTTTGTTTTTGTGCTGTAAAGTTTTTAAAAATATATTAATCAAGCTCAAATTTCATTTTTTAATTTATTATTTATGTTTGTCCATCAACCCTAAAAACTTCAAACAAATCAAACACATGAAGTGTGAACCCCGTCCATTTTGGTATGGAACGCCCCGTATATACTTTTATATTTTTTTAATTTCACTAAATTTTTAGAAAATTGATGGCTAAAAAAGACAGAGAGAATCACGCTAAGACCTTCTCGTTAGCCGATATTTCAATTAGTCTTTCGAAAGACTGAAAAGAGCTTTCAAGATAGATACCAGCATTGACAATTGTCTTACGCAAAACTTTTGTCATTCGAAAGACTGTGATGAGTTGAAAGAATAAATAAAAACAAAAGGATGATGTGATGTGATGAAAGGGCGCTAACTCCTAAAGATAAAAACGCCTGCATTTCCTTGATGAACTGAAACCACGTTCTTCGAGAAGTAAAATTGGGTGGCCAAAATTATTATTTTTTTTTTTTTTTTAATTAAAAAGTACGTAACTTTATAAATTTTTTTATTTAATTATTTTTAACTTTGCAACTTTTTCATTTCATTTTTTGGTTCCATGTAAATAGATTTCTCTTCATTCATAGCAGCATACCTTTTATTTGGAGCCCCTTTTTGTCACGCCCGTTGGTTTGTTTACGTTTGGCTTGTTTGTTGTTGTTGTTGTTGTTGTGGTATTTAAACACTGTTTACCCGCAACTGCATGTACGCGCCTTGCATGGACAAACTAGGAAATACTCAAAGTAGGTTTGTAAATAAATATTTTTTTATTTTCTTTTGATTTCTGTTTTTTTTTTGTTTGCAAGCGGCTCAAGCCCAAGCTTGTATTTACTATAATTTGCACTTGTTTTCTTTTTGCTTCACTCTGCGGTTTAGGCGTGTAACTATGTATGTAGTACCACAAGCGTTATACTTTTCCTTCCGCAACTTGTTTAAGCAAAACTAACAGCACTTTATTTTTCCAATTAAGTTCAATTGAGTTTCATTCAATAAAAAACAAAGATGAAACAACAAAGTTGCACTTTTTTTTGCTCGAGTAGCTGCTGCAAAAACTTGTAAACCTCTTTTTGGTTATAACTAATTTGAACCAAAAAATAGTATTGCACTTTTTTTTAGGCAAGTACTACGCTTGCACACATGTCGAACATATTTATGAAGTATCAAAATATTTAACTATATATGTAAGTGCGCAAGCAAGCAAATATGTATGTAAGTAAGCACTTAAGTTAAGTCAAGTAAGTACACAAATATATTAAGTTTTGTAAATTTATTGTTGTTTCTTGAAAATGATTGTTTACACGCTCGTGACTGTGTCGCGACGGCGTCTTTACACTATTTACATAGAATAAAAAAATAAAAAATTTTTGAGCAAAATATATATTTCAAAACCGATACGCGCTTGAAGAGTGCTGGAAGCGAACTGTTTGGCCCAGCGCTGGAGATGGGGACAGAGAGCCGCCACCAGTCGCGTTAGTCGTAGCCAGCAATGTTGGCATCGTTGCAGCTATCGTGGTTGTTTGGGCTGTTGCTGTCGCTCTGTGAAAGTTATCGAAAGCAAGGAATTGAAGCCGATTGGTGCTAACTAGCCATGCGATCACAAAAGCATGCGAGTTGTTGTCGTTATCTGCTCCATTACTTCACTTACATACATACCTATGTACGTATGTATGTACATATGAAGCTCCACGCGGTTGCTCTCTCACACTCACTCGTTTGACACGGTTCTCGCGTGTATCCCCATTATCCAGACATTCAGCTTAGCAGCTCCAGCTGAGCTCAGCTGAGTGTTGCTCGAAAGCTTTGCTTCTAAGTCTGTCTCCTCTTCGCTGCTGAAATTGCTCACCGTTGCAAGTGATTTGCTAATTGTTCTTTTATGTAGTTATTGGGTGCCACCACTATGCACAGTGGTACAGCCTCATATATTTTTTGGAAAAAATTTAAAAAAATTTCTGTATGCAATATTTATGGTCACAAACCAAAAAATCAAAAAATTGGCATGACATATTTATTTAAAGCATGCCTTCCATAGAAACCTAACCTTAAAGAAGTTTTAAAACTGCCATAAAAAGTGCACCGATGAATATATGGCTCCGAAATTTTGTCCACGTGTTTGTAAAAATGTTGTATGCGAACTCCAAAAGAATCTACGTATTGACAAACCTTATCTGAAAAAGCCTTAACATGCCATAAAAAGCGATCCGAAGAATAAACATATGACTGCGAAATTTCGTCCATATTTTTTGTAATAGAGTTAAGTATGAACCCTGAAAAAGTGGTAGAAATCGGTTTATTTCAAAGCATACCTCCTATAAAACCTAAGCAACGCCTTAAAAAGGCCATAAAAAGAGAATTAGAATTAAACATAAAAAAAATGGGAGTAAACGGTTTATTTTAACACATGCATACCTTTCATGCAAACTTAACCTCAAAAATGGCTTAACAATACCATATATGTCATCATTATTATATGAGGTTACCTTAAAAGTCCCAAATAAAGGCCAGTTACTTTTTTCAAAAATTTTATCTCTAAACTGTCAAATATTTTTATTTTTTTTCACAAAAATTCTTATAGGAAACATTAGCTTTTGCAACGTTTGCTTAACTCAGGAGCATAAACGCTGATTATTGGGCCCAATTGGTTCGCACCAATTTTTAATTTTTTTGTATTTTAGTTTTTGTTTATATTTCACAGCGCCCACTATGATATTTAAAAAATTTAGACTATTTTTTGACATTTAATATACCAGAAGCAACAACAAATGATGTTTTGCTCGAATGCTACTGCCTGTTTGATATGCCTTGGGTTGAATTAAATTCTTCTGACTTTTATTACTTTAATTAACCGACTTCAAAAAAGGAGGAGGTTATCAATTCGTCGGATTTTTTTTTTATGTATGTTGCCGCATAACTTTGACCCACGTCAACCGATATCTATAAATCTTTTTTTAAAGGCAAATCGGTACCTAACAGGTGGTCGCATACTAATTTGGTTTAGATCGGATTATTAGATCGTGAAAAAATTAACGTAAAGTTTTATATGAAAATTGAAGTCGGTTTTGTTTTTTGCCTAAAAAGTACTTGATTTCTATAAAATTGTCAATTTCCTAAAAGGTTATATTGCAATTTTCTTATTCAAATATTCCCTATATCCATCCAAATATGAGAATTGAGTGTTCAAACAATTTAATTTTTTCCGCCAAAATCCCACTGTGCGATGTAGAGAACAAAGAGAACCACTACTTTGGCTTTGCCGATTTTAACAATTCTCGAGTAACTTCAAAAGCACTCAAATCCACTAATATGTGCTTTCACAAAAATCCCCGTTTTTTAATTTTTTTATTTACTCTTTTTGTAAGTCATAGATTTTTACAATTCAAAACAATAAAACCACGTTTCCTATCGGAAAATTGAGTATTAAAAAAATTTCCAGTTTTGACAGTTTCTTTTATCCTCCTATTCGGCTTTGTTTGGGTTGCTTTCGTCCAGGGTTTCTTTGCACTTGTTTTGTAGTGTGGGCGAAATTTCTTAGCTTATTTGCGGTTTCCCGCTGCCTTGCTAGGAGCACTGCCTATGTTGTGGTTTAGTTTTGTTTTAAAAATAAAAATACATTTTCAACCGAAGTAGTACGTCGGTGGAGATTAGTTCAAGTAGTACACGCATTGACATGTGTAATTACGTGCGACATTGAGTATATTTTTTAATCATATTTTACGTGTTTATATTCCTATCTCAAGTGGAATTGTTCACAAGCGACTTATCGATAAGATTTGCCGAAGTTTATGTAATTATATTGAACTGTAATAATACGTAATTTGGGATCTTTTCAGAACTTTTATTCTTCGGTATTATATATCGGAGTTTTATTTTTTAGGAACTTAGTGAAAACTTTGCAGGATCGTTTAGGATCTTTTGGGGACTATTTCTACTTTTCTTAGTGATTTATTTTTCGAAATCTTACGGAATTTTTCGGGATCGCGCGGTTATTCGTTTTCAGCATGATAAGTGATCTTTTCGGGACCTGTAGGAATTTCAGGAGAACATTCAAGACGAAAAGTACATTTAAATCTTAAGATTATAGTATCTTATTTCGACTTTATAAAGACTATCGGCCACATTTTAATGAATATTTAGAATGGTTTTCTTAACTTTTTATCCGATTTGAAAATATTATGTGACGCAAAAAATACATACATACGTATGCCATACCTTCGAATAAATAAAGTCTCAGAAACCGCATTTCAAATCATATTTACTCAAAAAACCCCTGATAACAAGAAATACATTTTTATCAATGTATAAAGCATACACTAGAAATGAAAAAATACAAATTCAATTTTCCAATTTGGCAACCACTGCAGCTAAATGTTCAATACAAAAGCTCGCACTTGTTGCTGTCTGCTTTGCTGCAGTATTCAGTAATTGCATTCATTCTGTTTGTATGCCTAGCACATACATACGTGTATATATGTATAGTATATATACGGTGACCATCCGTCCGGTATTATACGGAACACGCCTCTTTTTTGGCCCATTGTCCAGGTAATTTATTTATTTTATACGGGACGCCAAATGTTCTGTATTTCTTTTAATGTCCTGTATTTGTTCCGTATTCGGTATTCCGACGCCTTAACAGCTCATTAAAATGGCAGGCCTATGAACGAGTTTTAAGTGATGTTTGTATGTAATCGTAACTTTTTAATTAACAGTTATTATCTTCTAATCTGAATGCCTGTGATTCGAATCGAGGAATACAAACAGTGGCCAAAATAGAAATTAGGACTCGACATTTTAGTAAGTTTTGGCTATTTTTCTTTAGTTTATTTAATGCTTATTATTTATTTTATGAAAGTAAAGCTCTTTTCCATATAATTCCAACTTTGTGCAAAAAACTATAAAAAATTAGTTCTGTAATGTTTTGCCAAAATTTCAAACTTTTAATTTGGTTTGCAGCTTTGTAACTCATTAAAATTTAGTAGGTATAATAAAGTGCGAGTGGCAAGTGCTGCCTTTCAAAAAGAATGGTCGAACATACTTACTTTGTATGACAAAAATGCGCAACACCGTAAAAAAAATACTGCCAAAAATTAGTGATAAGCAGGGAACGGATTTTTAGGACCTAAAAACCTATAAAAAAGGCAAAATAAAACAAACGAAATAGGCTGGAAAAGGCAAAATAAAATAGTGAAAAAGGCAGGAAAAGGCACTAGGTGTTGCAAAAAAGGCAAAAAAAGGCAAAACAAAATAGCGAAAAAGGCAGAAAAAGGCACTAAAAAAGACAGAAAATACGAAGAACAATCAAAAAGTACATTTATTTTAGAAATGTTTATATTACAAGTAAAAAGAGAAAAACTATGAACTAGTTTCATTATATGAAAAATTTGTACTTGGAATCTTTGACTATTTTATCCTTTCGAGTTTCTAACTCACAAAACTTTAATCTGTATAGTTCTAGTAACACTGAACCACAAGATGCATTTTGAAGTTTTGTGGTAGAATTTTCATTCGATTTTCGCTCGACGTAAGTTGATACAAGCGACGCCCAATTTAAACATGGAACGTTTGAAACGTTCATATTATCAGGAATAAGGGCGTTTTCCTCGCCCTTTACAATTTTATCCACACCCCTTATTGTCTCCAAGCCTTCGTTAGCTGAGAAAACGGCTTTGAATTTTTCCAACACCAATTTGGCAAGAGGTCTCTGCGCTTCTATAAGCCGCATGGGCAATGTGTATATTTTTTAATCTTAAAAAAAAATTGTAAATGCTATAATCATTTTTTTAAAGGTAGAAAAGGCAAAAAAACGCAAATATCTTAAAAAAGGCAAATGTCTTAAAAAAGGCAAATATCTTAAAAAAGGCAACATCAAATGCGTATATATGGAATCAGGGAAAGCTAAATCGTGGACATTCTTAATCGAATATGCTCTATCTCGTTAGCAGAAAAAAAGGCAATTTGAATAAAATCCGTTCCCTGGTGATAAGCCTTACCGACTTAAAATTTGTGATGTTACTATAAGGATACTGTTTCAGGCAAAACAGTGTGGAAAAAATTTCCAAAATAATTTTTTATCCCGTATTCGGCTCTCATAAATATGGTCACCGTAAGTATATATGAAGTCACATAAATACACATTGTAATTGGTGCTTTTCAATCAACCAACAAGTGTTCGCAAGTCTTGCCAATATCGTAATACAGAAAGCTAGCGGCGGAAAAAGCACAGTAATAAGCTTATTCAGCTAAAGCTATAAAATTTAAGTTTTTTGTTGTGCATCAATGTACGTGTTTATAAACAATGCTCTTTATTCAGCCGTGCATAAGCTCTTTGTCTTTTGATCGCATTGTAAAGCATTCCGGAAATGTTTTGAATTAAAATTTTGTTTTCGCAGAACATGAATTTCGTAATTTAATGATTTTGCCTTTCCTCAATCCTGAAGACTATTTTTTCTAAAATCAGCTTAAGATTCCTAAGAAATTTATTGGATTTAGAAACACGCCCAAATTTTATTTTCCATACACTAAAATGCATATCTTCAAAAGCTTTCCTAGAAACAGTAGTTAACAAAATTTTGTAATTTTTTTGTTTCATTCTCTATCGCGTTTATAAAGCCTTTATTTTCATAC